CCAGTTATCCCAGACACTCAGAGAAATGGGTGTCATATTCTGGACACTGATGAAACTTGATCTCTGGCCAAGTATTGAGCATCTGCTGATGCTCACTTCCTTCCACTCTCTAATTTCCCCCTTATACAGGGCAGTCAATGGCTAATCAAGGCATTTGCATGTCTAGCTGGAAATTGTTATGCCTAGCCTGGCCATCTTTTGTTACTATGCCATCCCAAATCTTTTGATGGGGTGGCATAACAATTATGGCACCAAAAGAAGGCAAAATCAAGTAAGTGAACCTTGCCAGAGCCAATGGAATCCCCCACCATGTAGATGTTAGAAGGGAGGCTAAGCCTTGTCATCCAGGAAAGACTGCTGATCAGGCCAAGACATGATCAAGCAAATGAGACTTTTGGATACTCATAAAAGTGTTCAGATTAGCTTCGCTTCTTCCTTAAACTACTAAGCTTTTTGTCCACCTTTGCCTTCTCTTTATTCTGACATGATTCAGAGTCTTTTTGAAAAGCAAAACAAAAAACTAATCACTGAATTGTGCAGCCCCCATTAACCATGCAATCCAATGCTTTGAAAATGTCATCATCTTTCCAGTTTGCTCCTGATTATCTGTGCTATCTAGTGTGAATCGTTTGCTCCTTATGTTAAGAGCTTTAAGTGGTCTGACTTTTCCATCCTTGTCATCAACTGCTATGTTCTGAGGTGCATTGTGGGATCTCACAGGCTTTGTCCTTCCTTTTATCTCCAATGTTGCTATCTAACTTCCAAGTGCCTGGTATTTATTTTCCCCCTCTTAACTAATATCAAGCAGCTTGGCTCGAATTAAAAGCTTCTTGAAATCCATTTTCTGTCTTTGGGTTGATTTTTTGTTTTGTTTTGTTAGTTTTCCATTTTAAATGGAAAAAAGAAAGAATCTATGCATGGTTATCAAAGAGTAGTGATGCGTAGTATTGTTATAAGTTTGCATTTGTTACCGCATATATTCTGATGGCTAAGCTCAACCATGGTTTATTCAATTAACCTAATTTTGCCAAACACACTTGACCTTAAAAAAAGCATACCAGCTAGGATGGCACCAGATAATTGTCTAAGTTCTTGTTGGCTACAGATTGTGACTTTGTCATTGGAACACAGCTGAGGGAATTGTGATCAATACTAATAATTTACCTATAAAGAGTTTAAAAACTTTTCAAGGTAAAGAATCTACTTACTAAAAAAAAGAAAAATCAGAACTCCTGACCGCCCCCCCCCCCCGAGCTATAATACAACCTTAACCTAATATAGGCAGTTCTCAACTTACAACGAGTGGAAGGAAGTGAGCATCAGCAGAGCTCAATACTTGGCCAGAGATCAAGTTTCATCAGTGTCCAGAATATGACACCCATTTCTCTGAGTGTCTGGGATAACTGGGCAGAAGAAACAGGTTCAACTTGAAGAGCCATTGGTGAAAATAAGAGAAAAAAGGCCATCCCTAGCCAATTTATTGACCATTCAAAGTCACAATGGCAGTGAAACAAATGACTTATGACTGTTTTTCCCACGACCATTGCAGCCTCCCCATGGTCACATGATCAGAATTCGGACACTTGGCAACTGGCTCATATTTAGGACAGTTGCAGTGTCCCAGATTCATGTGGTTCCCCTTTTGTGTCCTTCTGACAAGCAACATCAATAGGGAAGCCAAATTCACTTAAACTGTGGTGATTAATTTAACAACTGTGGCAAGAAAGGCCATAAAATGGGGCAGGAGTGAAATCCAATTTTTTTTACTACCGGTTCTGTGGACGTGGCTTGGTGGGTGTGGTGTGGCTTGGTGGGCGTGGCTTAGTGGGCGTGGCAGGGGAAGGATACTGCAAAATCCCCATTCCCTCCCCACTCCTGGGGGAAGGATATTGCAAAATCTCCATTCCTACCTGACTCTGGTGCCAGCGAGAGGTGGTATTTGCCAGTTCTCTGAACTGCTCTAAATTTCTGCTACTGGTTCTCCAGAACCTGTCAGAACCTGCTGGATTTCACCCCTGAAATGGGGCAAAACTCACTTAAGAACTGTCTCACTTAGCAACAGAAATTTTGGGCTCAATTGTGGTTGTAATTTGAGGACTACCTGTATCGTTGCCGCTGCACTACTATTTATTTATAAAGCATAAACGGGGGTTATTTTATTATTTTTCTTTTTTTATTATTTTTCTTTTTATTTCTTTTATATTGTCCTTTTTATGTCCTTGTAAGCCACCTTGAGTTGCCATGTGTGAGTAGGTGTCAATATAAAATTTCTAATAAATAAATAAAAATAAATAACTCCAGAGAATTGTCAGTTTTTGTACATCACTTTTTTTTTCTTTCTTCATAGCTGGTATTTTTCTCTCTCATCTGACTCTCTTTATGATACTTTGCCCATCTAGAGAAACAGAGGAAGTAATCCTTCTCCAGATGTCCTAAATCCTTGTGTTTGCAATCAATACAAACAAGAACAGAGTCAACAGGATGACTGTGATGCTTTAGAATCAAAAGGAGAAAGGTGCTTCAAAGCATGCAGGAATGTATACATCATCCCTGCCAGCAATACTTTAAATCAAGTGCCTATTTTGTTGGGATTTCATTGCGCTCACAGAGGGAAGCAGAGGACCTCTGGGGAAAGACAAAGCTACCTTAAAGAGTTCCTGAAGCAGCACTCCTTCCTATCAACAAGGTGACTTATATAAACTGAAAAGTATTCTTAAAAGGCTTTTAAGGTTTTAATCCTAAAATCAGGAAATGTAGGTGAAAAACTGCTGGGTCCAGCAGAAAGAAGTTCATTGTAGGCAGTCTTCCGAGATCTGAAGTTGGTAGAAAAGAAGTAGAATTATAACAGAAAGCAGAAGAGTTGAAAAATGACCATTTCCATATCTTCCCTCTAGCATTATCCCTCAGAAAATCTAAAGGGGGGAAAAAGAAAGCAAAGCAAGCCTTGGAGCTAGTATATTCCTCTATTATTAGTTTCAATCAAAAGAAATTTCAAAAATACCCAGTGGAGAAGACATGGAAAATCTTCACTTTTCTTCCCGCCCCAGGAAACATTAGAGTGGTGTGGGTTTTTTCCCCCTCTCTCTCTCAGAAAAAAAGCTTCACCACATTTCATCATCTTGCTCTTTTTGAGTACAGCAGCCAGTGAAAATCCTAATCAGAAATTGTCTGGGAAGCTCTTGGCTATGAACTTCAAAGGAGACACTCTGTTCAAAATAATTTACCAAAGGAGGACTTGGAAACCTAGTCTTCTAAATGGTGGAATATAGAACTGATTTCAATAAACAGGGCAGAATTTGGGGGAAGAGGAAGACTCGTTTTGAGGCTTTGAAGCACACGGGTTAGGTCCGCAAAGAAAGGAAAGGAAATTTGAGCCACCAAATTTTATATTAGCTAAATAATCTCGTGCTTGTTGAATCTGAGATTCTAAGGACTGGAGCCCCACCTCAGGGGTGACTGGAGTTTTCAGTCCTGAGAGCAGTTGCCTTGTACTTACACATCACCTTATTTATATACACTCAGGGGCTCTGTGAGAGGAGACCCCTCCACCACCACCCTTCAAAGAAAGGGGAGACAGAGATGGGGAATGGCAGGAGACTGCAGTGGTGAAATGTAAAATTTGTTACTACCGGTTCTGTGGTCGTGGCTTGGTGGTGGTGGGTAATGTAACTGGGTGGGCGTGGCCAACTTTTTTTTTAAACCTTTAAAAGCAGTTTTTCTACAACCTCTTCAGCCGAGGAGGTTTTAGAAAAAATGCTTTTAAAAGGCTCTGACCATCCCAACTGAACTGCCTGATCATCAGAAGCTTTTTTTTTCTTTTAAAAGCATTTTTTTTTTGCTTTTAAAAGAAAAAAAAAGCTTCTGACAATCAGGCAATTCAGTTGGGATGGTCAGAGCCTTTTAAAAGCATTTTTTTACAACCTCTTCAAGAGGTTGTAGAAAAAATGCTTTTAAAAGGCTCTGACGACCCCAGCTGAGCTGTGCGATCATCAGAGGCTTTTTTTTTTTCACTTTTAAAAGCATTTTTTCTACAACTTCTTCCGCCGAAGAGGTTTTAGAAAAAATGCTTTTAAAAGTTTTTTTAAAAAAGCCTCTGATGATCGTGTGGCTCAGCTGGGCATGGGGTGGGGGGCGCAGGGATTTTTGCTACTGGTTCTCCTTACCATCTACCGCCATTGCTACCAGATTGGGTGATCTGGTCCGAACCGGGAGCATTTCACCCCTGTGTTGAGAGCTTCATGCAGTTCATGGGTCACATGAGTTATGCCCTCATATTATGGAATCTCTGGAAGGCATTGGCAATGGCATTGTTCTGACCCAGCTCCCCAAATATGACCAACCCTCTGTAATTAATCACCGATTCCTTTATTAGGAGTGCCTGCAGCCCCGGCAAAAAGTCTCTCTCTCACAGCAGGCTAACAAGTCTGGCCGGCCGGAAGATGAATAGTTGTCTGCCACATCTATTTATCTCTGCCCCCTGCCTTTTATCCCCAGAGCTAGGGTGGGGCTTTGCTAGCAGCAGTGTCTCTATCACCCAAGGATCGGCCCACAGATTTCCACTGCTCTCCTCTCCTCTGCCTTCTGTGCATCTGCGTGTCAGGCACTGGACCCAACTGTTCCTCCTCTTCCTCATCAGCCACCTCCAGACCTGGGGGCTGCCGTTGACTCTTCATCTAGGGCTGACGGATGGCCCAGGCTCTGCCTCTCTCTCTCTTTCTCTCTCTGACAGATCCATTCCTTCTTCCCCCTTGGAGCTCTGACTCCCATACCTCCTCGTCATCTGATTTAGATGCTGGAGGGGCCAGCGGCCGACAGGCCACAACAGACATCATCAATGTCTTTGCAATGCATTCTAAGCCATTTCCAAGGACTCTTTGCTCTTCCAATAGAAATTGTGGGTTGTGAGTTGTGGACTAGCCTTATCTTTGCTAAAAGAAACAAAACAAAACAATCCCAAACCCTAGAAAGGAACATAAAAAAACACAGCTGCCCTTCAGAACTGTTGAGATACTTTAAATGTTTTAATCAAGACTTATTAGATATTAGCAGCACGGTTAATTTACATCTCGTATAGCTCCTTCAGATGGCTCATATCCAAAGATCTTTGCAGGCTTCATCACAAAAGCATTCTTGGGAGTTCTCCAAATGAAATAGCCAAGTAAGTAGGTCCAAGTGGCTCAGTGCCATGACTTAAGAAACTGGAAAATGAACAAAATGTATCAAAATGTAAATTACAGTAAGTTGATGCCGTTATTTTGTCAGCTTCTAAGATATCATGTGGGTTTTAAACTGCCTAGAAGAAGAAAGGATAAACTTGCCGGGTCTGCTTTGATAGGACAGGTTTTGCTAGGTAGTAAATGATAAATTATTAGGCATTTGATGGGAATACCAGACTTCTTTCCTAAATGTGGTACTTCTGCTGAGGAAGTTATTATATTTTCCCTGCAGGGTAAGGATGATTTTTCCTACTTGGAATAAAAAGCCATTTCAAAATTTGCTACAAGGAGCCATGTCTTTTTTTATATTCATCATCTGAATTAGAATGGAAGATTTTGTGTATGTTTTTCTTTCACCGTACCATGCACAAATGCCTTGGGAGGATAACATTTCCAGCTGAACACATGTTGATGAAAAAGGGATGAGTACCATTGAAACTGTCTTTTCCGCCTTCCGCAAAAACAGGAAGCCTTCCAGAGGTTGGTTGACCTTATGCTCCCATTTGCCCCAGCCAGGGGTGGGATTCTACCGGTTTGGACGGTTCAGGCGAATCAGTAGCTCTGACAATCAGCTGGGAGCGAACTGGTTTGCCCCGACAATCAGATGGGCCCACCTGCCTACCCGTGCTATTTTCCTACCTTTATCTTCTCAGCTGATTCGCGCGGCAGAGCGGATTGCCGCACAAATCAGCTGTGTTACTCCTCCGAAAAAACCCGGAAGTGAAGATTTCTTCAAACTGTGCACACATACACAAATCACGCGATCACTGAACCGGTTGTTAAACCAGGAGGATGCCACCACCCAGCTATTTATTCATTGACTGAATTTGTGTCAACATGGTCCCAGTAAAGCCAGAATGGCCAATGGTCAAGTATGATGGGAGTGTCAGACCTACAGGAGAAAGGAATCCTGTCCTGAAGGAACACCTTCTTGTATTGTTGGGTTCCTTCTTTTGACCAGCTCCAGTTTTGGGTGTGTGGACATTTTATTGCCTATGCGGAATGTAATAATATTCCATTATAGGGGAACGGGACTCAGCCTTAGTATCTTTGCATGATCTTGATCTGGATATATTACTGATGGGAAATAAATGCAGGTATTAAATTGTCTGAATTTGACTCAGTGAGATAACTGAGAGTCCTACACAGAAATTATGAGATGGGTCTTCATCATACTGATATTGTACAGATTGTCCTCGACTTATAACCACAACTGAGCCCAAAATTTCTATTGCTAAGCAAGGCATTTGTTAAGGAGTTTTGCCCCATTTTACGACCTTTCTTGCCAAGTTGTTAAGTCAGTAACATAACACAATTGTTAAGTGACTCTGGCTTCCCCATTGATTTTGGTCGCCAGAAGGTCGTAACAGTGGATCGCATGACCCTGGGATATTACAACCGTCATAAATATGAATCAGTTGCCAAGCTTCTGAATTTTGATCACATGACCACAGGGATGTTGCAACGGTCGTATGTATGAAAAACGGTCATAAGCCACTTTTTCCAGTGCCAGTGTAACTTCAAACTGTCATTAAATGAACTATTGTAAGTCGAGGACTACCTGTAGTAGCAATTCCTCCTAAAAGCTTTATTTATTTATTTTTTTAATTTGATTTATATGCCGCCCTTCTCCGGAGACTCAGGGCAGCTTACAATGCGTTAAGCAATAGCCTTCATACTTTTGTATATTCATACAAAGTCAGCTTATTGCCCCCACAAACTGGGTCCTCATTTAACCTACCTTAGAAAGGATGGAAGGCTGAGTCAACCTTGAGCCTGGGGAGATTTGAACCTGCAGTAATTGCAGGCAGCTGTGTTAATAACAGGGTGCTTTAGACCACTGTACTACCAAGGCACTTAAAAATCATGTTCCTCATAATGAAAACAGCACTTCTACACTTAGTTAATCATCTGATTGGTTGATTGAGCAATAAGCCTCATGAAATGAAAACAATGTAACCCTTTCTGAATTTTTTTATCAGATTACTTAAAAAAAAATACAACTTAGTTTACTTTACTTTTAAACCCGGAGGGTCTCTGGTGCTTAATTAGTTGTATGACTATGATTTGATTTTTTTCCAACGATGGGCCCAAATTTACTCAGGAAGCATATGCATATGCTTGAGTGGTAATTTGACCCTGGACCCCCTTACTTTACGGACATGATACTAGTTGAAGCCCTACCTAGGGGAATTGTTTATTTTATGCATAACTAGGCAACTTAACTATAGTTTGAATTATTAAATATTAGCATATTCATGTGTTCTCCAGTCATACCGCTTGAGGAAATATTAAAAGAAAAAATAATAATGCAGGAAAAAGATTTGTTTCAATTTTATATCTGCCTTTCCTTCTCCTGCAGATTCCAGAGGCTTTTCTTTAGACAGCCATTCTTTTCACATTTCGGGTCCAACTCTTTTCTAAAAAGCTGCAGGCCTCGTTTTGTTTTAGTAGCTGTTTATAGAATTTGCTTGCTCTGCACAAAGGGAGGCCTCATCTGTGGCCACAGACACACTTAGTTGTTTTATTGAATTTGTTCATATAAGAACTAGTGCCAGATGACTGGTGGAATTAAGTAAACAGGCAGGGGTAGTTCCTTAAGCAGGATGTGGCTTCGGATGGGCCTGAGCTATAGTACCTCAGAAGGAAACAAACTGGAAATCTTAAAACATCTTAATTTGTTATTTCACACTGGCTCTCATCTACCCAGAACTCCAAATCTGCTTATTACAAGATGTCACCCTTGTTCGGCCTGAGGGGAACCTTGAATCGGTTCTTTTTTTCCCCTTCTGAGCGCACCAGCTTGTTAAAAGCCAGGCTAGTGACAGAAAAGTGGGCACTCTGGCTTGAATTATCCCATTCTCCTGCAGAGTCTGAAGTAATCTCTGCTAATGAAGTATCTGCCTCAGGGCTTGACCAATTGGCATCTTTCCATACTCTTGACTCGTCTTTGAAACTCTTGTCTTCTCACTCGTGTGCAGAGTGGAGATGAATGCACAAGGACTGAACACACACACACACACACACATCTATACTGCAGAAATGTAGAGTTTGTCCCTTCCAGAACTTCAGTGAAATTTTGGTAACTAAAAGCAGCTCGGCACCTTCTGAAAAGTTTCTTCTTGCCAAATTTTAGTCTCAGAGGCACCATGATATATTCCTATTGTTGGAAAGCCAAATCCAGTGGCAGTGATGCTTCATCATCTCATAACCTATGTCCAAACAGTCGGTAGGTTCTGGAGAGAGAGAGAGCTTAAAATGGAAGAACTTGCCTCCAGAAGTTGTGAACGCTCCAACACTGGAAGTTTTTAAGAAGATATTGGATAACCATTTGTCTGAAGTGGTGTAGGGTTTCCTGCCTAAGCAGGGGGTTGGACCAGAAGATATCCAAGGTACCTTCCAACTCTGTTATTCTATTCTATAAAATCTATCTATCACTCTACCCATTCTTTATCTAATAGCACTAGCACTAGCACTTAGACTTATATATTACACTTTACAACCCTCTCTAAGTGATTTACAGAGTCCATAATTGGGTCCTCATTTTACCCACCTCAGAAGGATGGAAGGCTGAGTCAATCTTGAGCTCCATCTGGTTCGAACTCCAGACTGTGGGTAGAGTTTGCCTGCAATATGGCATTCTAATCACTGAGCCACTAGTGCTGTGATCATCTGAAGTCTCTTCCTTTTCTCCTTTTCCTGGCACACAGAGGAGATGTAGTTGGCTCCTCCTCCTAACAGGCTGCAGCTAGCTGGGTGCTAGGCCTTGCTTATCCTTATCATGCATTTCCTGTAAATACATCTCTTTCCTCTTAGCATTAAGCCTACCGCACTAATCCTTACTCAAGTTAGATTCCTGCTTTCAGGAACACTCCCACGCCCACACAGAGTGCTTCTATTCTGATGGGATTATAGGCCAGCAACAGAATCAAAGATAAGATGTACAAGAACAAATCTGAGTCTCTTTTTTATTTTTTTATTTATTTTTTTAATTTGATTTATATGCCGCCCTTCTCCGGAGACTCAGGGCGGCTTACAATGCGTTAAGCAATAGCCTTCATACTTTTGTATATTTTATACAAAGTCAGTTTATTGCCCCCACAAACTGGGTCCTCAATTTACCTACCTTAGAAAGGATGGAAGGCTGAGTCAACCTAGAGCCTGGTGAGATTCGAACTCGCAGTAATTGCAGGCAGCTGGAAGCTAAATACTACCTTTTAACATGTCACATTTTGAAACCCACCACTGAGTTACTTCCTTGTTTAGAAATGAAATGAAATTAGTAGAGCAAAGTAGAATTCAGCACCCGCCCTGAAAGTGTCCATCTTTCATAAGTGCAGAAGTTGAAAGGATCAGAAGCTTCACTTTGATCATTTGTGATCCAAGATTCATGAAGTATCAAGGAATCATCTTTGTGCTGGACAAGGACTCTTTCAAGGAAGAACAATACTGCAGAAGCAAAGAGTCTTGGACATTGCAAACGACAGAGCAACCAGAATGATCTGCTTGGGAGTAGGCTTGGGGATTGTGCATTTAGATCGATCAAAAGACACTTGGAAAGCTCTGTAAGACTTGCATGATAAAAGATCCATAGACTCCAAAGGGCATATTTCCAGAAAGCTATATAACTAGTATCTCGGGAAGAGATCCAAGTCTGCATAGGAATTAAAGAAAAGATAAGTTAGCTTTCAAGTTAGCTTGAAAAGAAAAACATACTTGTAAAGGAAGAAATGTTGTGGAGTTCTTGGTGCTCTCTGAATTTGTTGCTTCCAGATGTTTCTTTAACCAACTAGGTAACATCTTCAGTGCTAGTGAGTATGGGGTTTGCTCTCTGTTTGTATACAGTAGCTTGCCATCAATTTTGGTGGAGGCATGTTTTCTCCTAGGTAGTTCTTTGATTAGGGTATTGTTTCCTGCTTGTTTCTCTGGTGTTAATCCCTGTTTATCTGGGTGTAGACTGCTGGACAGGATGTGTTCTGGCCTTTTTGTTTCCTTCTTAGCTTTTTATTGTCTCTTCTGAATGATGAGTACATGTGATTTAGCTCTGATATAGAAAGAAATGATGGTTGTCTTCATTTTAAACGCATTGTTTGGAAATAACCAAGCTGTGGTATATGGCCTAGAAATGAAAGAGGAAGCAGATACTAATGGTGTAATAAATCGCTTACAAGACTATAATCTACATAACTCTCACGAGCAAGATACAGTTCTTAGTCAAGAAAATAGTTGTTAGTCCAGAAGGAAATGTTTCATTTACAATGACTTGATTGCATGTTAAAAGTGACAACTTTCCTTAGCCCAGTATAAGAAAAAACCATAAAGGAGATAAAACAATGCAAATTGACCAACAGATAGCATCTGTTTTGATTTGGCTACAACTTCTACCTTCATTAAAGAGAAAGAGCGGTTCACTTTATTGAATGAGTATAAATCTACCACTTACTTGGCAAACAGACAAGTCATTTCAGTGGTGGTGGGGGGACAGACTGTGAGACTGTGTTAGGTATTAGGGAAAGGAGAAGTTTTCAATTTAACAAAGATGCCCTTATATGTCCCAGATCTGGAGTTAAATGTCATCTCAGTAAAATATATCATAAAGAAAAGATGTGGTATAAAATGTAAAGGCAATTATTGTTATGTAACTGAGAATGGAGAATTGCTTAGGAATGGAGAATTTGAATTAGACTACGGTAGGCAAAATATAAAGCAAATACAGGAAGGAAGGAATTGCAATAAAACATCCAGCAACCCAATGGCACTAGAGAATGGGACACAGAAACCCAGATACTGTTGGTAATAAATTGGAGGGATTAGGCAAAGTTGCAATCATGTTCAAAGCGGACCAGATGTTGCAGGTTTTATATAGTCAAGGTTATAAACTGTTAAAGATATTGAGAAAAGTAAAGAAAAAGGCAAGATACTAGGACTAGCACATAGTAGCATTTTTGAAAATACTTTTTTTATTGTATTGAAAAATTTAAGTAATACAATCTATTATTTGGGTACAGTACAGTACTAACTGAAGATTATGGAAACTGATGATTTGGGTAGACATTTAAAGATGGCAAAAATATTTCTAAAATGTTAAAAAACATACAGTTGCTTAAATTGTACATGCAGGGCTAAGGGTAGCATTGATAAAGAACGGCAAAGTGCATTGAATTACTTTATTTACTTATTTTTCACATTTTCGAACCACCCATCTCCTTCAGAGAGGAACATTTGTTATATAGTATTGTTACACTATAAAGATACAACAAATCTTTACACAGTAAAAATTTCTGATCTTCACTGTATCATTACTTGTTGTTTATGCATATTAAAAAAGAAAAACAAAACAAAAAGTAAAAGAAACTTGAAAAAGTTTATCAGTGTTTTATTTCTAACTTCTGCCTTCTTTATACTTCAACCAATTAATAGTACTTATAAACATTTAGACAACTTTAGAAACCATATTGTGTTTATATTTGTCTTGCTGCATAATAGATTGTATATATGGGAATCATTCTTCCTTCAATTTAATGTTAATTTTGCCATTGCTGTACATTCTCCAAATTTAAGTTCCCAGTTAGATGTTGTTAGAATTGTGTCTTTATTCTGATGTTGGACAAAAGTTATTCTTGTTGCCATTTATCTCAATAAATGACGATCCTTCTTTACATTTTCTGGGATTATTTCTAGTAAAAAAAAACCTTGTGATTTCATTTCAAATTTAATTTTCAAAAATTTCTGAATAGTACTGTCTACCTCTTATCACTCCCACCACATGTGATAATATATTTCTTCTGTTTTGTGGCATTTTCAGCATTTATTATCATATAATGTATCTATTTTAGAAATTATTGACAGTGTTGTGTAGCATTTGTACTAGTTTTCTTTCAGATTGTATTTGTAGTGAATTTTATGGATTTGGTCCATCATTCCTGCCATTGTTGCATGATGACTGTTTTATATCCATTTTATCATGCATTTTTTTATTTGTGTCATAGCAAAATAGGAATTTGTATATGCGCCCTATGAGACGGCATTGGTTTTGTATAAATGTTTCAAATTCTGACATTTTTCTTAATATTCCTCCCTCTGATAAGATCATATTTTATGCTTCCAGCAATGTGTAAGTACATCAACCATAGCAGCAATAACAATAGCACTTAAACTTATATACTGCTTCACAGTGCTTTACAGCCCTCTCTAAGCGGTTTACAGAATCAACATATTGCCCCCAACAATCTGGGTCCTCATTTTATCATCCTAGGAAGGATGGAAGGCAGAGTCAACCTGGAGCTTGCGTGTCAATGGGCAGAGTCAGCCTGCAATACTGCATTTTAACCACTGCAAGGCCTTGATTGAATAATTCTTGCTATATCTTTAATTCATTCATTGGGTCTGAATCAGTGGTGGGATTCAATTTTTTTTACTACCAGTTCTGTGGGCGTGGCTTGGTGGGCATGGCAGGGGGAGGATACTGTAAAATCTCTATTCCCCCCCCCACTCCAGGGGAAGGTTACTGCAAAATCCCCATTTCCTCCCTATCAGCTGGGACTTGGGAGACAGAGAATAGATGGGAGTGGGGCCAGTCAGAGGCCCCACTGGTATTTACCAGTTCTCCGTACTACTTAAAATTTCCACTATAGGTTCTCCAAAACTGGTCAGAACCTGGTTAGAACCTGCTGAATACCATCTCTGGTCTATTTGCATATGTGATTACATTTTTCTTGCTGGAATTATGTCAAACAAGAAAAGCATTTGTAGAAGAAGCTAATGGTGAAATGGTTGAGCTTATGATTTTCATTATAGAATTTCAAACTGACAGTGTATCCTTTTAAAATTTTTGTTCTCCATTGTGTCTTTATATGTCTTTGAAATCCATTAATTAGGGCAGCTCCTTCCTATATTAACATTCTAGTATTTGTAAATTTTATCCACTCTGTTATCCATGACAGGGTCTTGCTTTATCATACAATTTAAAATTCGGAAGGACAAATTCACCTCTGTCTTTTGAATCTCATAATTTGACTCTGGTTCTTTTCCCACCCCATATAAATTTACTGACAATTTCTTGCCATTCTTTTCTCTGAAACTGTAACTTGTGCCATTTGGAAAAAATGATCATGGCTAATACATTCAACAATTACAATGGATCCTGACCAAGATGGCTTTAGGTTCCTTTACCTTTTGAGATCTCTTTTAATTTCTTGCCACCCTTTAGCATAGTTATTGTGATATATTTCTTGATTATTACTTGTCATGTGGCAACCAAGAATGGACTGTCTGACAGTCAGGTTCTTCCTGCAAAAGATTAACTTTTTGCATGACATATCTTGTAATTATTATGGGGGTTTGGACATTGATTTTGGGTAACATTTGATGGAGAGGTTATATCATGGCCACATTTCTATGGAGGAAAAATGGAAAAGTGTTCATCTCTAATCCAGACGTATATGTGGAAGAGAATTTATCCTGTGGTCCCTGATTCTGAATAAAAGAAAATGAATTTAGACTGTCCAGCCAAAAGGTGGATTATTGTCACTCAATCATTCAAAGGAACTGTGACTAGATTTTAGGCCAGAAATGTGAAAGGGCTTTACTTTTTCTTTTAATACAATGCTCAATCAGGATTTTACCTATAGCTATTGAAAATGGGGCTGAAATGACAGGGCACACTACAATGAACAACAACAGGTGTCACATCTGCTGTTTTTGGAACAGTGAATATTTATCTAATTGTCCTAACATGGGAGATTATTTGGCATGTTCAAATGTC